GAGCAGCTGGTAGTTTCGAACCGCTGACCTTAAGGTTCGCAGCCTGATTCGTAACCACTACGCTACCAGAGTTGAAGGATTATGGGAACTATTAAATGGGACATAGAGACACAAAATGATGCCAGTAGTCTTGCTCAACACAGGGTTACCTATAAACCTAACATTTATGAAAATCCCCCCACAATATCTGCAATGTGCAACAAAGCAATACACAATAAAATGAGATCTGTCCATATACATCGTATGTTAACAACAAAAACAACCCGCGCTGCATCCAACAACATGGGTGAACCTCATAGAAATCTTGTTGAATCAAAGAAGCCAGCCACCAAAGAATACGTGCTGTAAGATTAGAAGTTGATAAACAGGCAAAACTATCGAATGACAGTGTCAGATGGTGGTTTCCTTTGAGAGTAGGTATCTAGTTTCACTACAATAAAAAAACAAACAACAAAAAAACCCCAAAACAATTATTAGAGAGAGACAGAGGTTTCTCTTCCCACCAGTAGGGGGCGAACCTGTGCGTTGTCAGCCACATGGGAATTCTTTGGCAGGAACTTGTTGGGTTTTACCTGCTGAGCATACTGAAATTCTGTTTGCGTTCCAGGTTCATGAACCGTCGAGTCCCTGCCCACAAGAGGTACCAGCCCACGGAGTACGAACATGCTGCCAACTGTGCCACCCATGCTGTGAGTGGGCTGTCAGGGTGCGAGCAGGTGTTGAGGGTGGGGCTAGGGCCTCTTCCTGGTGGGGAGCAGGGACAGCAGCTTCTTCAAAGTTGCCCTCGGATGTCTAGGGAAAGCCATTTAGGCAAATTGAAGTATTGCGTTATGTGTATGTCTCTCTTTTGCTTTTAAGAACCTTCGATAGCTTCCTAATCCTTGGCACTACAGCCAGACATTTGGGCAAGTTTTCCACTAGGTCTGAGTGTGTAATCTGATTCCTGTCTAGGGTTTGTGAGACTGTAAATCTTTGAGGGACCAGAAAGCCTCATCTTTCTCCCACAGAGTGATTGGTGGGTCTGAACTGCTGACCTTGCAATTAGCAGTTGGGTGCGTATCCTACAGTGTCACCAAGGGGGCTTCAAAAAGATTGTGGGAAAATTCCATTATCTTTTCATTCCATTTTGCCAAGAATTCTTCATGCCTTCTCACCTACTGTTCCCTCTTTCTGAATATGTGGCATGTCTACTTCTGAAATCCTTATCTTACATAAACAAACCAGTTGCCATAGCATAAGTTCCAACTCATAGTGACACCATGTGTGTCAGAGTAGAACTGCGTTGGCTAGAGTTTACCATGGCTAATGTTTTGGAAGTCAGCCTCCAGGCCTTTCTTCCGAGGCATCTTTGGATAGGCTCCAGATTTTCGGTGAGCAACGTAGTGCATGCGTGGTTTGTACCACCTTTGCATGAATGTCTTCCCACAAGCCTTTCCATGTGTTCAGAATGGGGGCGGTTCTGAACTCAGTGTCCCCGGGCACACAGCTTTCATCTATCCACATTTTGTCTGGCTCAGGTACTGTTCAGCTGCTCGTTTACTTGGAAGGCATTTCCTGGTATCTGCAGGAGACCACTGACACATAACTCCCTGTGGGCCGTGACTTCTTAGGCATGTCAGGAAGCACCTGGTGTGTGAGGACAAACCCACTGCCACGGGGTTGATTCCGACTCATAGTGACCTTGTATATATAGGATTTCCTAGACTGTAAATCATTACAGGAGCGGACAACTTCATCTTTCTCCCAAAGACTACCCTGTGACTTTCAACTGCCAAACTTTCAGACTAACTTTTAACCCACAGCACTACCAGGGTCTCTTTTCAAACCACGTTGATGAAGTGAATGGAACTTGCCTCCTTCTCTTAGCTAAAATCCATTGCCATTGAGTCACTTCTGACCCATAACAACCATGTCTATATCTATCAGGAGTTACCAAGGTTGTAAATCTTTAGAGGAGTAGATGACCTCATTTTTCTCCTGTGAAGCCACTGGTGGATTTGAACCATTAATCTTGTGATTTAGCAGCCTATCACCTAACCCGCAGGGCATTAATATGTGCTTACCTTCCTGATGTGGTACTGTAGGATAAGCACTGGACTGCAAGGTCGGTTTGAGCTGCAAGGTCAGTGGTTCAAACTCAGCAGTAGCTACTTGGAAACCCTACACAGGGTCGCTGTGATTCAGAACTGACTCTATGGCACTTAACAATCAATGGGAGGTGGCAGATAAGAAAACAAGCTATGTTTTTGTTGTTGTTAAGTGCCTTTGAGTTGGTTCCGACTCATAGCGACCCTATAGGGGTTTCCAAGGAGTGACTAGTGGGTTTGAATTAGTGGTTAGTTTCCCAGTGCTTATCCTACATCATCACACCAGGACAAGGGCTAGCTGGTGCTAATTAGCATTTAGGGGTACCTTGCATGGTGCAAAAACTATTACTGGCGATTCACATCTACCCATTAGCACCCTGCACCTGGCAATCTGCCTGTGTAAAAAATCACAGTCCAGAAAATCCTATGGAGCAGTTCTACTTTGTAACATATGGGGTCACCAGGAGTCAAAATCGACTCAATGGCAATGTCTGCTTTTAGTGTCAGGGGGGCAGTCATGGTAGAATTTTTGCCTTCCATTCGGTGGTTCAAACTCACCAGCTGCTCCTCGGAAATCCTAGACAGGGTCACTGTGGATCGGAACCAACTCGATGGCACTTACAACAACAACAATAGAGAGACGTGGATTCTATTCCCAACCAACGCATCTCATGTGCAGCCAACGCCTGTTTTATCAGTGGAGGCTTGTGTGGTGCTAGGATGCTGAGCAGGTTTCAGCAGAACTTCCAGTCTGAAAGACAGACTAGGAAGAAAGGCCCGGAGATTGACTTCTGAGAATCAACCATTGAAAACCCCATGGCTCACAAAGATCCTATTTGCAGCCAATCATGGGATGCATGACGGGGAAACGCTGTGTTCTGTGATGCCTCAGGTTGCTCTGATTTATGGGCTGACTCAAAGCCATTAAGAACAACAAAGTGAAATAATTTCTTTGATCTTTATACATTTCTTCAAATGTCTTTAACATCTATCATCACGAAGATGGTTGGGGGTGGGTGGAGGATCTCTTATCGACGTTTGAATTCAATTTGTGAAGTAAAAATGTTTAAAAATTCAGCTTCTCTGTATCAGGAGCCACTTTTCAAGTTCTGGGTATCCTTGTGGTTACCATATTGGATGGAATTGGAGTCCTGGTGTGGCACTGAAGGATAAGCACTGGACTGCTAACCACAAGGCCAGTGCTTCAAACCTACTAGTCGCTCCCTTAAAACCCTTTACAGGGTCACTATGAATCAGAAGTGACTCGACGGCACTTAACAACAACAACAACCTTCTTAAAGAGCAAAGATAAAGACCCTTCCATAGTGGCAGACAGTTCTGTTGGAGGGCGTTGATGAAGAGGAAGGGGAGGAAGGTGGGTTGGGGAGTGATCAGCGCCTCTGTGACCACACTCACACACACTCACTCACACACACACTCTGCTGGTAGCCTACTGAACCTGTCCATGTTCCTATTCCAGTTCTGGATCATTCCCAGCATCCTCGGCAGCTCCAATCTCTACTTCCTGTCAGACGACAACTTGGAAACCATTTCGGCCTGGATCTACGGCTTTGGCCTTTGTGGTCTTTTTGTGGTTTCCACCATGTTCCACACCATCTCTTGGAAGAAGAGCCACCTCAGGTACTTCCTACAACAGCCCACAGGAGGATGGAGGGGACCACAGTAACTGAAGAAGCCACAGTGGGTTCAGTTGAACTCAGAGGTGGCTGAGGGTGGGATGACCCTTGTACTGTCTTTGGGAGAGGAGCAAGCTCGTGCCTGGAGTATGCTGGGATTGAGTTCCATATGGGCAGAGTCCTGCACCTGTTGGAGTGCACCTGGGTGGCACAGATGGTTTATGCTAATTGAAAGATTGGTGGTTCAAACCCACCCAGCAGTATCACAGAAGAAAGTCCTGGAGATCTGCTTCTGTAAGTATCACAGCCAAGAAAATCGCAAGAAGCGCGTTTCTACTCAGTAACACCGAGTTGGAATTGATAGTAACAGGTTTGGTTTGGTTTGGTTTATGGGCAAGCCACAGCAGCAAACACCTAACTTCTCTTGTTCCAGGTACGTTTTCAGTATCTTCCCTACTCTTCTCCATAATTCAGCAGTGTGGGCTTTAGGACCCATCTTTCGTAAAGGAGGTTCAGAGTGGTAAGAGGCTTTGCTGAAGGACCTACAAGCTGGTAGTGCCCAAGGGGACACCCCTGGCCGATGCAGGACCGTCCACTTGTTGACTGGCTGGGTCCAGCCTCCGAAGCCTTTTGACTCTCCTGAATCCCATCCCAATTCACCAGGTCCTTCTCAAACCTCACAGTATTCATTTCCTGTGGCTGCTATAATCAGAGATACTGTGGGTTCAGTTCCAGACCACTGCAATAAAATGAAGATCACAAGCAAGAGCATCCCATGCATGTTTTGGTTTCCCCAAGCAGATAAAAGTGCTGTTGATGCTAGACTGTCACCTATGAAGTATGCAATTGCGTGATGATTCCAACATGGGACACAGAGACACGAAGTGAGCACACATTGTTGAGAAAATGGCACCAACTGACTTGCTCAGCTCAAGGTAGCTACAAACCTTTAGAAGGTGAAGGATGCAGTATCTGCCAATCACAATAAAGTGAGATAGGCCTTTTCTGCAAACTGTTTGGCTTCAAACCACAGGAATGTACTCTCGGTTCTAGAGGCTGGGGTCCTAAATTAAGGTGTTGGCAGGACCCCGCTCCCTTCGAAGACTCCTGTGGAGGACTCTTCCTCCCTTCTTCCAGCTTCTGGTGGCCCCAGGCATTCCTTGGCTTGTGGCTGCATCACCTCAATCTCTGCCTCTGTGTCCATATGGCTGTCTTCCCTCTGAATCTGTGTGTCTTCGTTTCCTCTTTTCCTAGGTGCCTGGTCACATTGGATTGGAGCCTCATGCTCCATGCCAGTAGGACCTCAGATTTATATCTGCAAAGAACCTATTTCCCAATAAGTTCATATTCACAGATACTGGGGTCTAGACTCAACATAGCTTTTGGGGGGGACATAGCTCATCACATAATACCCCCTCAGTGGTAGAGCTGGGTTTTAAATGCAGGCCTTGTGGCTCCGTCACCTGGATCCTGAAACACTAAACTGGTCACAGGACATTTCCCTAGATTGAAGGTTCTTTCTCTGCTAAGTAAGAATAATGAAGCAAGAGAACAGGCTTATCACGAAAGCAAGGAATTTACTAGTAGGAGTGAAGGGACCTTGACAAGGGGAGACATGGCGGGCTTTGATGCAATGCTGCACAAGTCTTGCTTGAGCAAGGTTTTGTTTTGTTTGTTTGTTTTACCATTTTATTGTAAATTGAGTGAAATTTTACATTTGACAAATCATACCCTTTGTTTCATATTAATGATGGGAATTCCCTCCATGCAACAAAAGGAACCTCTTGCTTCCTATTTCCATTGTTTCCGTTCCTTCTCAACTTTGTCCTTAGGTAAATATTGTCCTTTGGATTGTGAATGATTGATCATTTCATGGTGAGCATACTGTACTAGTTATTGTTGTCCCCCTTTATATATGTTGAAAATTGGGCCCTGAGAGTGAGTTCCTTTCCAGACAAAGTATGACCAAGGACCGTTGTCTCAGGTTCCTCCAGCCTCTTTCTGACCAGTAAGCATGGTCTTTCAAAACAAATTATTTTGAATTTTGTTCCACATTTTCCCCACTCTATCTGGGACCTTCTAATGTGATCCCTTTCAGAGTAGTGGTCACCTGGCACCATCTAGTTCTTCTGAGTCGTGACTGATGTTCACATGGTTCGTTAGTCCGATGCACTAATTGATTCCAATCACCTTTTGTACTCAACACTCATCTTTCTTCTACACGTGGAGAAACCAATAGCTGCATTTTGGATGACTGCTCATGAGCTTTTAAAATCCCAGACATAACTCAGCAAAATAGAATGTATAACATTTCCTTTGTGGACTATGTTATGCCAGTTGACCGTGGTGTCCTCTGAAACTATGGCCCGAAGCCTCCAGACCTAGCAATGCATTGCTGTAAGATATTTGATAATATCTAAGACGTTTGCATCATTTTGCCCACTGTTTGTTGAGCAAGTTTTAAACAAGACAGTTAAACTCCTTATAATGATATCAGAGAAAATGGGGAACAAAGAAACTGTGGGGTTCTTCCTTGAATTTACCCAGTTGGGAGGAGTTATGGTGGTGAATGCAAGTGCAGCCTTTTTGCAAGATGGTTTCTGTTGTAAAGGCTTCTGGGATGCTGATCATCGCTCATTATGGGATGTATTTGATAGCACCCATTACTGGAAGGTTAAATCTTAGTCAGAGTTGGAGATTCTGTGCATGCTGTGGATTAGATTTAAGGTGGTTCTTGCCTCATGAGTGTCTGAAAGACAATTTTAAGGAAGTTTACATGGGAGTCCTTGTGTGGAGCTGTGGGATAAAGCACTGGACCTCAAGGTTGGTTTGAACCACAAGGTTGGTGGTTCAAATTCACCAGTTGCTCCTTGGAAATCCTATACAGGGTCACTATGAGTCAGAACTGACTGGATAGCACTTAACAGCAACAACGTGGGAATAAGAGACAAAATCATAAGGTTCCAGGGTGTTGGTGAGACACAAGGTAGTTCTGCCTCCTAGTCTGTCAGCAGATCTTTTGTCATGCGGCTACAAGCTGGTTCTTCTGCCAATTGTCATTAAGCCTGTTGTTGTTAAGTGCTTTCCGACTCAGTGACCCTGTATAAGGTTTCCAAGGAGTAGCTGGTGAATTTGAACTGCCAACATTGTGTTTCAAACCAATCTTGCAGTCCAGTGCACTATCCCACAGCGCCACATTTGTTGTTGTTGTGATGTGTTGTGGAATCGGTTCGGACTCATAGTGACCCTGCCCAGGATTTCCGAGGCTGTAAATCTTTACGGGAGCAGAAAGCCTTATCTTTCACCTGCGGAACAGCTGGTAGTTTCGAACTACTGACCGTGAGATTAGCAGCCCAATTCGTAACCACTACGCTACCAGAGCTCCTTACAGCACCACACTAACTGTTCTTAATTTCTTAAGGAGCCCTGGGAGCGTGGTGGATTCGAGCTGGGCTGTTAACTGCAAGGACAGCTGTTTGAATCCACCAGCCGCTCCAGGGGAGAAAGATGAGGCTTTCTGTTCCCATAAAGATTTACAGCCTTAGAGACCCTCTACAGGGTCTCCAGGAATTGACTAGGTAATACACAAGCACCACTCTCATTCTTCATTCCTTGGTATTGTAGCCTGCTTCTAGCTAAGATGCTGTTCTGTGTGCCATCATTTGGTTCCTATACATAGCTACCCTCTATTGGGTTTCTGAGAGTGTCTGGTGGGCTTGACCTGATGTTCTTACTAAACTGTGTTGCTGTTGTGTGCTGTCGAGTTGGTTCCAACTCATAGCCACCCTGTATAGGGTTTCTGAGGCTGGAAATCTTTGCAGGAGCAGAAAGCCTCATCTTTGTCCAGTGGAGCAGCTGGTGAGCTCACACTTGTGCTAAGCTATGTTGTTGTTGTTGGTAGGTGCCGTCCAGTCGGTTCCAACTCATAGCAATCCTGTGTAGGGTTTCCAAGAAGCAGCTGGTGAGTTTGAACAGCTAACTTTGCGGTTCAAACTAACCTTGTAGGCCAGTGCTTATCTTACAGCACCACTTCAGGACTCCTTGTGCTAAGCTACAATGACAGCAAATATTAGAACCAGCAGGGTCTTGGGGAAATACGTAGTTCAGAGTTTTCAGTTCATTTGAAACTATGTGAAAAGCCCAGTATATAAAACAAAAATGCTCTGATTAAGGTGGTGGTGTGGTGCCGATGTGGAGTTGGTTCTGACTTGTAGCGGCCCCTATGTAGGGTTTCCAAGTGTGCAAAGCTTTGTGGGAGTAGAAAGCCTCATCTTTGTCCTGTGGAATGACTGGTAGTTTCGAACCACTGACTAAGGAGAGACCTTCAGTGGTACCCCAAGGCATTTACACACAACCCCAGAGGCTGTCAAGAGCTTGGTCTGAAAGTCATGACTCTTATAATTTCCAAAGATGTCTTCATAGCGATCCCACAAGCTGGAGGTTCAAGTTCATCCCGAGAAGCATTGGAAGAAAGACCTGGTGATCCACTTCCAGTAAGATTAAACCAAAAAACCACACCATATTCCCTTCTGTTAGTCAGTTCCAACTCCTAGTGACCCTGTAAGGTAGGGTAGAACTGCCCGTTAGGGTTTCTAAGGCTGTGTATCTTTATGAAAGCAGACTGCCTCATCTTTCTCCCACAAGGTGGCTGGTGGGCTGAAACAGCCAACCTTTGGGTTCGCAGCCCAGTACTTAATCCACTGTACCACCAGGGCTCCGCCCAGTCCTATGACAGCCAATGAATCTGACTGTAACCCATGGTGTCTCTGTAAGTCGGGATCACCTTTACAAGAATTAACAACAATCATTTACAGAGGTCCTGGGTCATGCAAACAGTTAACCCTCTTGTCTACTGACCAAAAGGTAGAAGGTTCAAGTCCACCCAGAGGATCCTCAGAAGAAAGCCCTGGTGATCTGCTTCTGAAAAACGGCCATTAAAAACTGCTCTGCCATGAGTCAGAATGGACTCGACAACAATGGGTGTGGGTTGGGGGTCTTCGTCACTTATCAATGGGGACACTGTGGCCAGAGAGGCACACTGGATCGAGGTACAGACTCTGAGTCCAGCCACCCTGCCTGGCCTGTGTTTGTCCAGGATTGGCTATGGCCTCTGCTGCCCATCCTTGCTGTGTTGGGCCCTAACAGCTGGTCTTTCTGTCCTAGGGTGGTGGAGCACTGTCTGCACATGTTCGATCGGATGGTCATCTATTACTTCATAGCAGCTTCTTATACACCCTGGTAAGTGCCTCCATTCTTTTCTTTGTTCCAAGACATTTTAGACTTGGGCGGGTGACCTATCTGTGTGCACAAAAGGGTAAACAGGTGTAAGGACACCCTCTTTCCCATTCCCCCAACCCAGCCCCCCAGAGGCAACTACTTAGCACACCCGTTACTCACTTAGCAATGTAGTTAGGTTCCAAAGACTGGTCTTAATGTGAAAATGGAGGAGGATCATTTCAAATCACAATGTCAGGGTTGACTCCATCATTGCTTAGCTGCCAAATCACATCAGTATACAATTGCCAGACCACTGAGAATCATGGTCCAGCCAAGTTGATACCTGACTTTAACCATCACAGCCAGCGTTCTCACCTCATACGTTGGCATTGGTTACTGCCACGTGTACATCGTTAATGCATGTGGAAGTCAGCTAATAGATTTTATACTGTTGTCGAATAGTGAGATCATTGATAAGGCAGGAGTACATGTGGTTCCTTACATATCCTCCCAAAGTTACTGTGTGCATAAAAGAGTTTATGCATATTCATGTCAGTTCATAGAAAAATGGAGTTAAAAGTTAATGGGATTTTCCCACAAACTTTCTGAAGCCCCCTTGTACATATGTATTTATTTATTTTATTGGGTGACTCAAGCAGTTTGCACTCAACTTCTAAAGGTTGGTAGTTCAAGGCCATCCAGCAGTGCCATGAGAGAAAGGTCTGGCAATCTGTTTCCATGAAAATTACAGCCCAAAAAATCCAATGGAGCAATTCAGCTGTGTAACACATGAGGTACCCATGAGTCAGAATCGACTCCACAGCAATGGATTGGTTTGCTTTGTGTTACATATACACATACATACTTGCTGTTAAGTGTCGTCGAGTTGGGTCCAACTCATAGAAGCCCTGTATAGGGTTTCCAAGGCTGTAAATCTTTACAGGAGCAGAAAGCCTCATCTTTCTCCCACAGAGCAGCTGGTAGTTTCAAACTGCTGACCTTGTGATTAGCAATCCGACTCATTAACTCACTAAGCTACCAGAATATATATATATAATGTGTAGGATAAGCATTGGACTGTTAACCACAAGGTCAGTGGTTCAAACCCACCAGCCACTCCTTGGAAACTCTGTACAAGATGACTCGGAACCTACTCGAAGGCACTTAACAACCCCTCTCTCTTCATACTTGTGCCTAATCAGTTGTGCTAATTTCCCACTAATAAGTCCTTATAGTTTCACTTTGCCGAGGACTCTTGTAGCCTCTCCAGTGTCATGAAAGACTGAGGATCTATAGGTGTAGGGCTTCCTGGGACGTCTAGTCCTTGAGGGCTCGGTTCCGGTGGACTCCTCTCAGGCTGAGTCCTCCTCTTTCACCCAGGCTGAACCTTCGAGAGCTGGGCCCCTGGGCCTCTCACATGCGCTGGCTGGTCTGGATTATGGCCTCTGGGGGCACCATGTATGTCTTCTTCTTCCATGAGAGGTAAGCCAGGGCTGAGAGCCCCAGAGGGGCGGGGTGCCCCTGGAGAGAGTCCCTGGGGGGAGATCCCAGGGTGATGACTTTGCCTGGCCTGTCAGTGTTCAAGCTTGTGGACTACCACCTGTGTAGGTTCCTAGACCAAGAATGGTGCCAGGTGGGCTACCAACTGTCTCTAAGCTGTATGTTTCAGCATTCTCTAGAGAGGCAGACAAGTGAAATAGATATAGATGTTGTTGTTATGTGCTGTGAAGTCGGTTCTGACTCATAGTGTCCCTGTACAGGGTTTCCAAGGCTGTAACTCTTTACAGGAGCAGAAAGCCTCATCTTTCTCCTGTGAAACAGCTGGTAGTTTCGAACTGCTAACCGTGAGAGTAACAGCCTGATTCATAACCACTGCTCTACCAGAGCTCCTTATATATACATAGATTGATGAATATATAGGTAGATGAATATATAGATAAATGTTGTTGTCCTTAACTGCGTCAAGTCGGTTCCGACTCATAGCAACCCTGTATAGAGTTTCCGAGGCTGTAACTATTAAGGGCATAGAAAGCCTCATCTTTCTCTTAAGGAGCAACTGGTGGATTCAAACCACTGACCTTGTGGTTCAAAGTTCAGTACTTCTCTTCTAGACTCTAGCCTCTAGACTCTAGGGTCTAGAGTCAAAGCTACTGTGCTCCCAGATACACAGATAGATGTATATATGGATAGAAGGATGGATAGATGAATAGATTGATGGATAGGTGGATTAACAGATAAAAGATAGATGGCTAGATAGGTAGATAAATATGTGTATATATATATACATGGGAATGGATAGATAAATGGGTGGATGGCTAATGGATGGATGGCTAGATTGATAATAAGATAGATAATAGATAGATAGATAGATAGATAGATAGATAGATAGATAGATAGATAGATAAAGATTTACTTCAAGGATTTGGCCTATACAATTGTTGGGGGCTGGAAAGTCCAAAATTTGTGTGTCAGGTGACAGGCTGGAAACTCGTACAGGCTTTCAAGTCCCAAGATCTGTAAGTCAGGAGATGAAAAAGCATAGAATGAAGAGAGAATTCTGCCAACATCCCTACTAGTAATCTGGAGACAGAACCCACCATGGGAAACTTCCTGTAAAGCTGATTGATAGATCGCATTATTATTAGATTACATTATGGGAAGCAATTGTATTATTTTACACTACATCTCATCAGGGTTGTAGAATTGTTACCTTGCATCACACTACAGAACTATATTAGACGGTGTTTGGTCAAACCACTGGGCACCATAGCCTAGCCCAGTTGACTTGTAAATTAATCATCACACTGTGCAAATAATGGGGGCGGGGTGTCAGGGAGTATCTTTGGGAGTCATACACCCCCATCCTGACCTGGGAATAATTAAGTGGGGGAAAGAAACAGAAAGAAAGAAATAAAAAAGAGTGACCAACTCCTGGAATCTCAGTGCTCACATTTAAAGCAGAGGTGGCAAATAGGCTTCAGTAGACACATTGACTCTGATTAAGACTCTCAGTTTGAGCGCTGTGAGCCAAGATATTGTGATTGACTAGTAATGTCTGTCACAGCCCTGAGCCAGGGGAGTGTCAGCCACTGTGTTGACTGTATCCAGTTTGCAATACCTGTACTTGCTCAAGTGTGCCATTTCACAGATGTGGAAACTGAGTCTCAGAGAGGAGAAGAGACTCAACACCACTCTTCCAGCACTTGCTGGGTAAACTGTGAGCCAAGGAGATAAAGACAGAGAGAAGGGTCCTCAAACATGGGGAGCTGAATGCTGCTTCCTCTTGGGGAAGCACGCTCTGAGGCCAAGGTGGCGTGTCTTCCTGTCAGGTACAAAGTCCTGGAGCTGCTCTGCTACGTTGTGATGGGCTTTTTTCCTGCCCTGGTCCTCCTTTCCATGGTAAGTTCTACCCAACCCAGTGTGGGCATCTCCTTTTACCTGCAGAGCTCTGACAATCAAGACAGTCAAGTCTAACCCTCTCTTTGGCTGGTGGGGGAAACCAGTGCCCAGAGGGGTAACATTATTCACCACAAGAGGCAGAAGAACATGAAGGTTAATACCGAGGGCTCTAGAGTTTAGACAAACTGGTTCTCTACCATTACTTTCTAACAAATATTGAGTGGGAGTCTATTAAATTGTTATACACATCGAACGCACATTGTAGTTAGGTGCTGTTGAGTCAGTTCTGACTCATAGCGACCCTACATACAACAGAGCAAAACGCTGCCTCGTCCTGTGCCAGCTTCACAATTGTTACTATGCTTGAGCCCATTGCCGCTGCCACTGTGTCAGTCCATCTCACTGAGGGTCTTCCTATTTTTCATTCATTCTTTACTTTACCAAGATTGATGTCCTTTTCCAGGGACTGGCCCCTCCTGATAAGATGTCCGAAGTACAAGAGACAAAGTCTTATCATTCTTGCTTCCAAGAAGCATTCTGACCACTTATTCCCAGGCAGATTTGTTAACTCTTCAGGCAGTCCATGGCATGTTTAATATTCTTTCCCAACACATTAATTTTATAATTATGATACATTTACTGAAATGGAATATACCATAAAAGATAGTAAAATATAAAATACGGTATATTCAATATGCTTTGTCACCACCATAGTAAATATATATATATATATATAT